CTAAGTTATGGTTTGATTTCAGCACTTAGAAAAATTCTAGATCTGAGTCAAAAATCTCACTTAAGTTGCCATAATAGAAATCCATGGCTTTTCATCGTTTACAGATTCAAATCAGTTCGTAGATCCAAAATGCCCTGTTTGAAACAGAGGCCAGAGCCTGCAATGTTCCTACATGCATCCTTAAATCTTTTTCCCAGTCTCCTTCAGAAAGACATGGGACTTACAGATACTTTTGAGAATGCTCAGTGAGAAGGGATATGACCAGATCTCCCAGGAGTTATTAAATCCTGGCTCTAGGATTGCTAGAGCAATCCATTGCTATGGAGTTAAAACATTAGCCGTGTCCAGGGTACATTCATTTTTCTATTGCTACTGCAACAAATTATTATAACCTGGTGGCTTAAAACAACACAAATGTATTGTCTTATACTTCTGGATCTCAGAAGTCTGAAAGGTCCTACTGGGTTACAGTCAAGGTGTCAACAGAGCTACATACCTTCTAGAGATTCTAAGGGAGAATTCATTTCCTTACCTTTTCCAGCTTTAAGAGTATGCCTGCCTTCCTTGACTTATTTCTCCCATCACTCACAGAGGGAGCTGATGGTAAGAAAGGCTAAGTGGAAGCCCCTGGAACTGTCCTTCTACATCCATATAGTAAACTAAAAGAAATACTGTGTCCCTGGACAAGGACAGAGATTGGTGTCACTATTTAAAAACCCAAAAGATGCAAGAGTGCAGGTTCCCTACCCTATGCTCAGTTAACTTACTGTTCAGCCCAGACAAAAGATGGATTATGGAACCATGCCCATTGTACCAGCACGGTAACTTCACTGGACCAGACAATACAATCCTAGTATCTATGGCTATTAACTTGAAGAGTACTTTTTTTTTCTTCAGGGACATCTCTGGATTTTGGAGACACCATATACCACAACCAGCTGTGCGCCTCCAACCTATTTGCTCAGTAGTACCTATGGCTGTCTGTTTTGAATGGAACCTAGAAAAAGAGAGGGCTCCCTAGGTCTAGGCTATAGTGCAAGCTGCCCTGATCCTTGGATCTTAATGACCCAACAGATAATAACTATTACAAGTGTCTGTGGCAGGCAGAGCTTCTGGCAAGCCCCAATAGAAAAATCACAGATAACCTGCCTAGGAATTTTAGAACAAAGTCATGCCCTTCGCCAAAATATCAGTTATCTTTTGGTATATATTAAGGTTTCCCAGCTGGTGCTGGTGGTAAAGAACCTGCCCACCAATGCAGGAGACACAAGACTGCGGTTTCATCCCTGGGTGAGGAAGGTACCCTGGAGAAGGAAATGGCAACCCATTCCAGTGTTCTGGCTTGGAGAATCCCATGGACACAGAGCTTGGCCGACTGCAGTCCATAGTGTCATAAAGAGTCAGACATGGCTGAAGCAACTTAGCACACAGGGACAAAGGTAACACCCAAACTTTGGGGCTAATTTTAGATGTGGGCTACAACAGTCAATTACTATTCACTATATGAAAAAACTGGAAATAGAACTGCCATATGACCCAGCAATCCCACTCCTGGGCATACACACCGAGGAAACTAGATCTGAAAGAGACACATGCACCCCAATGTTCATAGCAGCACTGTTTATAATAGCCAGGACATGGAAGCAACCTAGATGCCCATCAGCAGACGAATGGATAAGAAAGCTGTGGTACATATACACCATGGAATATTACTCAGCCATTAAAAAGAATTCATTTGAATCAGTTCTAATGAGATGGATGAAACTGGAGCCCATTATACAGAGTGAAGTAAGCCAGAAAGATAAAGACCAATACAGTATATTAACGCATATATATGGAATTTTAAAAAGATGGTAACGATAACCCTATATGCAAAACAGAAAAAGAGACACAGATGTACAGAACAGACTTTGAGACTCTGTGGGAGAAGGCGAGGGTGGGATGATCTGAGAGAAGAGCATTGAAACAAGTATACTATCAAGGGTGAAACAGATCACCAGCCCAGGTTGGATGCATGAGACAAGTGCTCAGGGCTGGTGCACTGGGAAGACCCAGAGGGATGGGATGGAGAGGGAGGCGGGAGGGGGGATTGGGATGGGGAACACATGTAAATCCATGGCTGATTCATGTCAGTGTATGGCAAAAACCACTACAATATTGTAAAGTAATTAGTCTCCAACTAATAAAAATAAATGGAAAAAAAAAAGAAATCAGTTCCTCTCTTTCTATAGGGCCCTGGGAGACACTGAAAACATGATTGTAGACCGCCTGGTATATTAGTGTGCAGGGGCCACTGTACCAAAGGACCACAGATAGGATGGCTTAACAGCATTTCCTCGCCTGACAGCTCTGGAGGCTGGGGTTGTTGCTGTTCAGTTGCTCAGTTTTTGCGACCCCATGGAGTGTAGCAGGTCAGACTTCCCTGTCTTTCACTATCTCCTGGAGTTTGCTCAAATGCCTGTCCACTGACTCAGTGATGCTATCCATCTAAAGGCTGAAAGACTGAAATCAAGGGACCAGCAGGGTTGGCTCCTTCTGAGACTTGAGGGAGAGGATCTGTTCTAAACCTATCTCCTTGACTTGTAGATCATAGTCTTCTTTATGAGTCTCTTTATACCATCTTCTCTCTATGTGTTATCTGTCTCTGTTTTCAAGTTTTCTCTTTTTATAAGGACACCACTCATATTATATGAGGTCCCACCCTAATGACTTCTCTTTGACCTGATGACTTCTACAAAGACCTTGTCTCCAAATAAGGTAACTTTCTGAAAACTTACTGGGAATCCAATTCCAGTAGATTCCAGCATATCTTTTTTGGAGGTGACACAATTCAACCCATAACTATACAACCTGAACTTTAATAACAAATTGGTTGTCACCTGGCCCACCAAATGATAAAGCTGGCCCACATGTGCAGCCATGTCCCATGATTAAGTGAAAATGGTATCTATAAGACACAGTAGATGAGCACAAGTGATTCAGATGGCATAAGAAAATTATATAAGCAATGACCTTGGACTCCATGGTGCTTCTCCCACTGCTTGGTGTTTTTCCCTAAACACACACCTATAACTGCACAGGAGTTCCTCATAAACAGGCAACAGAGAAGGGAAGAGTCAGCCTTATGCAAAATAAGCTGGCACCAGTCACAAATTATGGCTGCTACATTACAGCCCCTCTCAGGGATGCTCTGAAATAGAGTAGAAAGAGAAATCTTCCTAACAGAGAGAACTTGGAGTGGTACATCTGTTTTCCATTGTGCCTGAAAACAGAGATGGCCTAATATAAGATTTACACTGACTTACAGGTGGTGGCTAATGTCTTGGCCAGTTGGTGTCTGAGGGACTTGGGAAGAGCAAGATGGAAAGACTAGTGACAAAGAGGTCTCGTGGGAGAAATTTAGGAAAGAATCTCTTGAAGTTGACAGAGTGTAGAGATATTTGTGTTTTGCGGAATACTTTCCAGAGAACAAGATGATATGCCCATGGATGTCAGCCAGCTTCCCTGGGGCTTGCTGAAAGGATAGTGTCACGGTGGGGATAGGGAGGTGAAGCACGTGGGCCGTTGTACAGACTTCCCTTCTCCATTGCTGAGTGCACAAACCGGTGAGAGCTGAGACCAGCACTGAGCCATTCCCTGTAATCCTTGTCAGATGGCCTCTCTTTCCAGCTCCAGTTCACAGGACTGCAACCACACTATTGACTCACCTTTCCTAGCAGCTGGAAGAGGGAGGAGGGGATGGATCTGAGAAATGCTTGTAAAAGCAGAACTGAGAGGAAATGATGGCCATGTGAACATAGCAGAAGAATGGAGAAGAAAAACTGAGATGACTCCAGTCTTTCATTTTTGTAACTGATGAGTGGGGACACTTTTAATGTCATTGGTAAGTGGGGGTACTTTCAGTGAAGACAGAAATCATCAGAGGAACGTGAGGTGAGACTGATGGAAAGGATAAAGAGTTCAGTTTGGGCCTCTGAATGTGGGTGTGGGTAAGTGGATGTGTCATAAGCAACTAGCAGTCAGAGAGCAAAATGATTCCTGAGTTCAGAAGCAATGTCCAGACTGGAGATAAAGGATGGAAATTGGAATTTATTCCTAATCATATGTTAATGCCCCACAGGACTTTACATTTTGAACCTTTTAACTCTAACTTTGGAAGACAGACTTTGTTTTGCAGCTGAGTGAACAAGTTGAAGAGGCCTTTTAGGGAGCAGGAGTGCTGATTCACAAGAGGAAGTAAGTAGAGGGACCCTAATGCAAAGGTTCTGTTGTGTATTTCAGACTGAAAGTGCCAAGTGCACAAACCTTATCTATCTTGTCTCACTTCTCTATTTCTGGACTCTAGATGAGAGTCTGATGCTTTGTATCCACACAAGGATTTGTGGGATGGGTGAAGTAAATGGGAGGGTGTGGGGATGAATGAATAAAGGAAAAGGGGAATGAGTGAAGGAACCTACTGGGCATCCTGAGGACCTGGAGGAAGAAGCCACACCTGCCCTTTTACTTTTTTTTCCAAATGCTCTTTGGAAGACTGAAAAATAAAAGGCCCTGTGGAGCGGCAGTTAAGAACATGGACTCTGAATTCAGGCTCCACGACTTCCTAGCTGCCTTGACTTGGCCAGCTAACTTAATCTTCTGCTTCCTCCCTGTAAAACAAACACAAAAATGCTTAGAGCAGCTCCTGGGGAAAAGTAAGTTGCACATAAGTGTTAGTGTTGTTATTTCTGACATCTTGATGAGAAGGTAAGCCTGAAAGACAAACCAGAAATCCCCTGCGGAGAATCATTCCACTTAGTGTCCAAGTGCCATCCGCAAGCGAACAATCCCTTTTTCTCTCTCTGCCTTCCAGGAGCTTTAAATACCTTAGAAATCCCCAGCATAGCATTCACTGGCAAAGGACAGAGATCTGGGTTTTAGTTCCAGCTGTCAGCAGTGAGCTCTCTGAGTCTGCAGAGCCCCATACCCTCTCTGGGCTAAGTGCCCTCGCTTGCCCACTCGAGGTTGCGGGAGTTTCAGTGAGGGCGAGCCATGCTCTCCCGCCGACCTACAGCCTCCCGGCTCCACGTCGGATGCCGGGCGCCGGCTCGCCGCAAATCGGGCTGTCACACCCCTCCGGCGCGCTCCCGGGACCTCGCACCCTGCGCGTCCGGCGGCCGCCCAGTGCCCCGCGCGCCCACAGGGTGGTGCCTCTCCGGCGCCCCCAGGCCCGGACGCCAGATCTCCAGGGCCAGCGCGCCTTCTCCCGCAGCCTGCCTGCAGCCCTTTATACCCAGCCAACCCTGCGCTCACTAATGTTTAACTCGGGGCTGAAACTTGGAAGCGCCTTGTGACTACGCGCCCGGAGCTCCGGAGCTGCACGCGCGTCCGGGCGGCTCGCCAGACTTCTGCCTGCGCTCCGGCTCCGAAACTTCAGTTTCGAAGCGACGCAGACCATGAAGGTGAGTGATTAAAGGGCCCCTCACCCCGCAAAGAGCCCCAGGGGTGAGTTGCAGATGCCTCTTCACTAAAGTCTCCCCAGATTACCCCCACCCCCACCCCAAAGCTCGTAGATCGAAACCAGGGGCTCTCATTAGGCGGAAGCTCCAGAGCCACCCTCTGACAGGTGAAGGGACGCCCCAAGGCTCCTGGCTCGCTCTCGGACCCGCGGGGCTAAGAACCCAGGGACCGAGCCTTGGAGGACCTGGAGAGCCACAGGCAAAACATACGCCAGCACCCTTACTTGGCTTCTGAGGTGCGTTTAGACGCAAACATTAAATTGCCCAGAGGCCAGAAGTTCAAGGGAAAGCGCTCTGGCAACCTCCGACTCGCGAGCTCCAAACCCTCCCAGCCCCCTCCGCCCCTCTCCCAGTGCGCGCGACGGCAAACTCCGCTGCCTCCTGTGCAGCCCGGGCCCCGACCCTCTTACCCAGGCTGGGGCCAGACGGCTGGCTCTAACTGGACCTGACCTGCCCGGCTTGCAGACACCCTGGAAGGTGCTCCTGGGATTGCTGGCGATCGCTGCGCTCGTCACCGTCATCACCGTGCCCGTGGTTCTGCTGACCAAAGGCAGTAAGTTTAAAACATTTGAAAAAGATAAGACAGTTGGAGACCGGGATCAGGTTCTATTTTAACATTCCAAGGAGACCTAGGAGTTTTGCTGGGGACCAGGTGGGACCACTGTGCCCGGTCGTGGAGCTCAGGCTTCGCTGGCGTAATTGCTGCTTCTAGTGTAGCCGCTATATTCGCTTCGTTGGTCTCCAGTGTTTAGGCTGCGAGAGCCCTGCACCTGCCACGTTTTGCATATGGCAAATACATACTTCCTGAAAATAAGGGGAAATTTTGAGATCTCTTTTTATCAAATACAAATTTAGTACCTTTTGAATCTCAGTGGTTTTTTTTTTTTTCTTAAAAAGAACTTTCGTGATTGTGATCTTCAAAGAAAAAGAGATAGTGTTTAAAGATCCCAACGAGCTGTAAGGATGTCATGAGGGGAGGGAAAAAATTAAGAAAAAACCCCCAAATACAGTTTTGAGAAAAGAAAGTCCATAGGGAACCCAGGTGGTTTTCCCTAAAGCTGATGGAAAATATCACCATGTCCATGGTGATATTCAGAGGAGGTGGGATCAGTTATGTTTGGTAGAGTCTGTCATTTAAACCCACCTTGGTTTCTTTTCGCTTGCTTCACCGTTTCAGTTTAGTCCTAGTTTTTAATATAAAACATCCATAGAATGAAATGCACAGTATTGGATGCAAAGAAATGAGAATAACTAGTTTGGGTCTGCTCTGGCCCTACTTCCTTTTAAATAGTTATTTCCTTTAAGTATTCACATTCTAGTCATCTAACTGAAGTGCCTTCTCTGATGGTCTAGTCAACCAGGAAATGTGTAGACAGTGCTTATGTACTGGGAGGTCTTATCTAGATTTCAAGGTGACAATTCAGATTTAGTTTGTAGAACCATCAAAAACCATGTATGGCCAGCAATTTCAGGGCCAGGGCAAAGGTGCCAAAGGTTAAATAACTGAGTCTGTTGACCTATTGATAATGACTTTCAGTAACTTTAAAAAGCCGTGGTTACCACCATTTTAGGCTGTTAAATGGTGGGCATCTGTCCACTTTCTCAACTCTTTGTTACAAGCTGTTAAAATATAACTGCTTTCATAAAGTGGTACTTTGTATATTTAAACAACCACACACACACAAAGCCTTCCTGTGGGGAAAGGATGGGTCGCCCATACAATCGGTAAATATTCACATGACCTACATTATGTTCCAGGAACTGTGCAAGTCGCTGCAAATCCAAAGATTAAATTTTATAAATATAAAGACCTCCAACTTCAGGAAGTTTACAAGCTAGTGGGAAACAGATATGCAAACAAATCAAAGTAACCTGGATAGTCTGTTCATCTCTAACATATTGTGAGGCACTCGGGCCTCCTTGGCAGAATGGATGAAGCTGTAATTACCAGAACTTCCCTTCAAGAAAGTTGAAAGGAACAGCAAACTTTGATAATAAGTCACTTGAGATGGCAGTGAAATGAGTTAGGGGCCTGAGTCATGCAACTGACTTCCGTGGGATTTGTTTAAGTTAACTACAGGGATTGTGTTTTGCTGGAAGGAGTATACAGACAGGGGAGAGGCTGTCTCGCCATTTCCCTTAAACCATACCTAGTCTTTTCTCCAAATGAAATTTGAACAAAAATTTCAAAGACATTCTCTTGAAGGGGACTTCCAGAGAGGTTCACATGTCTCCACCTAACTTTTATTATGATGCAGTGAAGAAATTTAGAGAGGCTTGAGCAAACTTCTCAGTTAGGAAGATCACTTCTGGGAAAGAGGTCTCACAAGAGGTTTCTTTTGTGGGGAGGTCTGAAGAGTTAATATCAATTCCTGGAGGTAAGTTTTCAAGAAAATTTAGAATGACTTGTAAGTCATCTTAGAGACACAATATCACCTCCTCTATCTTGGATCGTACAAGGACTCAGCAAGAGAGAAGAGTGAGTGGCAGGACTTTAACCTGTGGATGATGGAAAATTCTAGTGTGCCTGCAATGTGGGGCAGGACAGTGGGAAGGTGGACTGACATGGAACAAGACTGGAGGGGAAGAAAGGGAAGTGACCAGGAGACTGATGATGCAGAGTAGAATTTGGAGGCTATAGGGATACTCAGAAATGTGTATGATTAGACTTTGATAATCAGAAACATAGGGAGTAAGGAGATAGGGTGGCTGAGAACTCTTAAACTACTAGGTGGAGATGTGGTTCCATTGTGTGCTTTATTTACACTTAGACAATCAAATTATTTTTCTCCTGTATTTCTTAATTGGCATGTATGTATATTTGAGGAGAAAAGGGAAATTATCTTGTTTCAACTCCTCCCTTATCATAAGGAGCAAAGATAAAAGCTCAGCTTTTTTGCTAAGCCAGCAATACCATTTCTGAACCGTAATAACGGATAACCTTTTTACAAAGGATCCAGACATGTTAAGAAGTGTCCCTCAACATGGTCCATCAAGGTTTTAAAGTCAAAACCAGAAAGGAAGAGAAGAAGTGAGGTGGGAGAGAGGAAATATAAATGAAAAGGAAAGGAAGTTGGGGAAAAAAAGAAAGAAGGAAAGAGGAAAGGAAGAAAGATTTTGATAGAACAACAAAATAAAGTTTTGGATTATGTGGAAAGCAAAGAATTAAAAAGCCAAGAGAAAAAGGAAGAAGAAATGAGCAAACTCAAGTTCATCCCCCAGAGAGGTTGGTTTAAAAGGTTAAGTGTTTCCATATGAAGAGCTGACTTAGGCAGAACTCTGAACACACTTGGAGAAGAGAGAGAGAGACTGAGACAGAGAAAGAAAAAGGTATAAGCTTAATACTGTTCACAATTTTCTTTTTAGAATAAAAGCTCCTTGAGGTCAGGAGTTATGCATTTCACCAGGTAATATTAAAAGTTTACCTCCTTCTGTATATATAATAACAGATTGGATTTTGTGTTAAATTCCTCAAATATCCTAACAGAGAAGGATATTGCATATTTAGACATTGCTTTTCAGAGAATCAGCAATAAAATGTATAAAAATAATTTACTCATAGTGGAATTGAAATCTTCATGGCTGAGAGGCAATAAAACCTTCTCACTCAGTATTTGCGATCCCTTTAATTCCCTCTTTATGATATATTATAGGCTGAGTTTTTTAAATAGTTGTCAAATTGTTTTATTATTGAGTTTTGTTATTTGCTGGATAGTTTTCTTACTGGGTTTTGTTATGGAATAGAGACATATCACTTTTTCTTGTATTCTTTCCACTGCTATAGCAGTGAATTTCCTCAGTATCTTCTTTCAGTGCATAGGAAATTTGACTGCTTTGCCATCCACCAGTAATAAAAGAAAACCCAAATGTGAAGGAGGAGACAGGAATAATCAGAGAAAAAAAAGATAACATCTATGAAGTTTGCCTGAGGAAGTCCAGGATCTATTCCAGATTTAAAAACACAGAAGCAAGCCTGAATGAAAGCTTTGTGTATTTCAGAGGACAAATTCTAAACAAAGAGCCCTGTAAAAGCTCTAGCTGACTCCAGGCTCACTCAGTTATCAAGCTTTGTCAAGTGTTCCTGAGGTCAGTGGGTTGGCCTTTTTCAGGCCAGCTATTTTGGCTTTTGGTTCCCTAGCTATAGCATGTGCATTAAATTTCTCTATCTTAGACATCTTGCCTCTCATCTTAAAAGGGGTCAGAAAAAGGGAAGGCTATTTGCCTAACCGATGGTCAGAGAAAAGTGACATCAAGAGACTAATTAGATCAGTGTACTTGAAATTTTAAGACTTAAACTGCTGAACCTAGGAAATGTGACAGTAAGTACATGCAGGACCACCTTCCTTGTGGCAGAGAAGGTGCAAAGATGTAATAACCAACACAGATTCACTCTGTGCCAGGTACTGGGCAAGGGTGTTCGATACACTTCTCATTTGATCCTTACAACAACCCTTTGACAGAGGTTATTATCTCCAGGTTTACAGAAGATTTAGAGAAATCTTGAGAGGGTGCTTTAGTTATTTATTACTGCATAATGAATTGTCTCTAAACTTAAAACAAATATTTGTCATCTCACAGTCTCTGTGGGTCAGGAATTTGTCAGAGGCTTAGCTGGGTGATTCTGGCTCAAGGACTCTCATGCGGTTACAGTCAACACATCATCTGAGGCTTAACTGGGGCTAGGTAATCCGCATCCAAGCTCTCTTGTGTGGCTGTTACCCAGAGGCCTCAGTTCCCTGCCAAAGGATGGGCCTTTCCAAACAGCTGTCTCCCCTTAGAATGAAGGATCTAAGAGAACAACCAAGTGGGAAACCTCAGGGTCTTTTTGACCTAGTCTCAGAGGTTATGCGTCACCACTTCCGCTGTGTTCTGTTGGTCATACACACCAACCCTGACTCAAAGTGAGAGGGCATTGCACAGGCTGTGAATATTGGGGTGGGGCTCATTGGGGCCATCTTGGAGGCTGGCTACCAAAGAAATTAAGGAACTCACTCAAAGTTCCACAGATCATGCTCAGACACCGTGCTTCTAGAGTTGGTACTTTGTGATCAAGTATAAAATTAATGTAGCCATATTAACATAAATTTGACAGCTTCCTCTCTATATGACTGTATTTAATTTCATGACTGCTAGTCCCTGAATACTAAGTGTTCTGGGGGAAAGCGCTTGCTGCTGCCGCCTCTGTTCCTACACAAAGCTGTAGAGAAGCAATGACTTCCAGTCCAGAACTGACGTGTCACTCTTTTTTTCTTCTTTTTTTTTACTGTGCTGACTCTACTGGGTCTCCCTTGTCGCCCTTGGTCTCTTCATGATGGTGCACAGTCTTCTGTAGTTGAGGCAAGCAGGCTTAGTTGCCCTGCAGCATGTGGGAATCTTAGTTCCTGGACCATGGATTGAACAGGCATCTCCTGAACTGCGCAGCAGATTCTTTATCACCAGGGAATTCTTTATCACCTCTCTTCTGACTGGTCTTATAGGTGTTTTCGGTGGCGATAGTTGGTCTGGGTTTAGTACTTACACTGGATTACACGCTTCTAGTGCATGCTGTGTCAT